CCGATGGAAACAAGTATACTTAAGGGCTAATTACTTGTTTTAGGGTAGGACAACCATTCGCTTACTCAGTTGTAATATACATAGGATTCATATAGGGAGGGAAATTAAACCTAGATCAGTGGTTCTCAACCTTTTAGGGCACAAGGCGCCCACTGATAGATCCAAAGTAATCCTTAGAAAGTGTCTGCTCTTATTTTTGACTACACAAAAATAATAGAGGGATTTTCCTGTTACAAAAAGCCCACATGGACCACCACAGGGCAGAATGGTTTTAATTCTATGGATTCCCATTTAAAATCTCCAAGTTTATTTTGTGAATCATATCTGCACACCTAACCATGCTAACATTGTATGGCAAATTACGACACCCCTGACAGGTTGTCAAGGTGGCTTATGTCCTGTCTGCTATTTTTTTTTCATACCAGTGTAAGTATGTCACCTTTCTATACCCTTAGATTCCCCAGTACAAATGCATTTGAAGTTAGTCACTTTTCGCTGAACTGCTCTGGATGTTAGTGAAAACCTAGCCCAAATTAATGCAGAGATCTCATGTCCATTTCTTTGCCTCATTCACCAAGCACTACTCATAATGCACACTAACTGAAGAAGAGTCCTGCATACAATGTTACGTGACTATTACTGTATTTCATGCACACAAGGGAACCGCTCTTAAGGCATTTCCTTGAAGTTCGAGTTACTCCCCAAGTAAGCACAAGAGTCTTCTCCATGGAACTTTCTAAGCTCCTCTTTTTTAAACCAAATCTAAGTGCCTGTACACAGACACAACCTTAAACCACAAATGAAATTCAGTTTGCACAATGCAACACTAAGAACAATACGCACTTTGCAAATAAAATTGCAATGGTTAAAGACGCCCACAGATCCACTTGGAAAGATCTACATGTCAAAAAAGAGGGGGCTCAAAATGAACTGAAATTCTGATTTTTTTAGCACACGAACATACTGTGCAACTCTTATTCATTTAGAAAGTTGATAAATGGTTAAAGGTAATTCTTTTTTTAAACTCTAAAAATCCAAACTAACATTGACTGGGGCCATCAACTACATTCTGCCTCCATCTAATCCACTGTCAGAACTATTAAGAAGTTTGTAACTTTAATTTTTAATAGTGGATCAATTCTCAAAAAAGGGCCAAGACATTTCTGTCCAAACTTCTCCCCCCCAGTC